TAATTGACTCATTAAAGCACATTAATTGATCTGTGCAAAGTGGGAACTGCTTGCGGGACTCTTCAAGGTAGTCTGAAATTCCCACCTGGAGCACTGCTATGCCAATTAGTCAAATACTTAACCACAAAGGCAGCTTGACTTCAGTCAATCAGCTTATTTCAAGTTGGTCTATTTTCTCATCTGTGCAGGTGACTAGCTGGGCAGTATCTAGACCACCCAGGGAATTGATAGCTAAGTGTGATGGGTGTTGCACATAGGCACAGCTGTGCTACCCAACTGCGCTGCAATTCCCATAGGAGAAGTTTAAATTTCATGCTTGTGACTTAAGTTCTATAGTTCTTGCCACAAAGTCACGCATATTGGAGAAAACAATTCTAGTTTGGTGTCTGCATTCCTTACAGTCTCAGAAAATTACATTACTTTAGTTTTAAGGTGATGTGAGCCCTGAGACTATGGGGTGCTGAGGCTGGGAGTGCCAGAAAAGAAAACCCTACAAGCCAGGAGCAAACCCTGGAAGAGAGAGTAGGAGGATATATGAGGGGTACCTGGCCCTGCAAAAGGCTGCCACCTGGTTCAGACCAGTGACAGCTGGTGCTAGTGGCCTGAGCGAGACGCAGACCTCCTCTTCCTGACCCTCAAGCTCTGGCTTCAGACATTTGTCAGTTTATTTGCTATTTTAAAGGCTCATCAGGGATACAAGGTCTAACTTGAGGTCAGAGCCATCCAAGAGTGCTGCAGGAAGCAGGAGGGATCAGTGCAATAGGGAATATTCTTGTGATTTCTTTGAGTAAAACAGGGAAGAGTGACGATGTGGGGTCCGCATGCAGGCTTATTTGAGAAGATGAAGTAGCTTGGTTACAGTCTGAGTAGAAGCAAGCTGAATAGCAGGGAAGTTTTCTGTTGTGCTAGACAAGCAGAGAACATGATGCACCAGCTGGAAATTTAAGCATGACAAGTTCAAATTATAGATAAGGTGCACATTTTGAAAAATGGAAGTAATCAAGCTCTGCAACGATGTACAAGATATAAACATACACACACACAGACACTTTTTTAGTTGAAAATCTTTTTATCAAGATTGGAAACCTTTCTAAGAGTCATGTTCCATTTCAACTACAAGTTGTTGAGCTTGGTACAGGGATTATTTGGTTTCATTTTGTGGTTTGTTCTGTGTTGGACCTTAGGCAGTGTTTTTATACATGTCTCTTGACATTTAATTTATGAATACTTTCTGTTAGCCTGATCATGGTCCTAGCTGTGTCATATTTTTAGAGTTGTTAAAAGAATTACACTTATTTGGTTCTGTGCCCTTCTCCCCTCCAGTTTAGAGCGTGCAACCCAACACCACAGGTGCTGTGAGGGGCAGATTTTGCTGTGTAGACTCTAGTGTTGCAGAATTAGTTCCTTCTGATACTCACTTTAGTCTCTTAGAAAGATGTCTTTTTTTGACATTACTTCAATTTTTAGCATCTGTATAGGAAATTCTGTAGTATAGTCTAGTCTGTAATGAATTAATTATATCTTTTTTTTTAATGTAATTGCTTTCTCTGATTTTCTGTCTCAATCCTGTGCACTGTGCATCTTAATCTTCAGGGTGAGGGAAGTTTTTAACTAATTGTACCTGTAGGACTAAAGAGTCTCCTTCTTTCTCAATACTTCTCCAGATGAATATTGATTCTGTTTGCTGTTTAAGATAGATTGTTCAGTCAAGTTCTGTTCTCAGAAAGTTAAATTTTATCTGCCCCCCAATATTTTAAATAATACTTGTACTTATTTTATGTATTAATGCATCATTTTCCAGAACACAAAACTGGCTAAATTGAACCTATTTATTGTAACATTTTTCTTTTTCTTTTGGTATGTGTGAAAGAATATATGTCTAACAAGATAAAAATACTCCTTTTCATCAAAAATGGAAGATGCTAAGTATATGTTTCTGTTTTTACAGGCTAAAGCCTATCTAAAGATAGCTATGGAAATAGTAAGACGACTGCCAGTACCTCCTACTTGAAGTGTTTATCACTGAAACTTACCAAAAAAGTGATCTTTTGGTGCGACCAATGCAGAAGAGTCCCACTACCTAGTTATGTGGATATCATATTTTAGTTCTAAGAACTTTTTTAGGAGTTAATTTACCAGATTTAAATTATGATTGTGGTATTTACTGTTTTCGAATAATTATTTGGCCATGTCCAAATGGATTGAAGTACACAAAAGACAATTGGATTGTAAGATCATCAGAGAAGAAGGGATGAAGTACATCTTTCACATGCGTCCTGTTTTTAAGGTCAAGAATGAAAAAACAACCTCTCCAGCCGAGCAGAATGATGAGAGGGATGCCAAGGCAAAAGTCCTCCATAAAAAAATGACATTTACAATACTCTAATTTCTGTCAATTTTGGTTTAGCTTTTTATTTGTTTAACTACCAAGCTGACCTGAAGTTCTCAAAAATTTTAAGAAGCAAATTCAGTTATGTAACAATACTTCTATGTGTTCATCTTAAAAGAAAATTTAAAAAATTCCATGTATATTCTGAATAGTTCTTGTGATGGATCATGAGCAAGTTCATTTGTTGTTAGGTGATGTTTGATCATGAGGCAATTCACAGTTCGATGGAGAATGGATTATGTGACCCTGAGGGTTTTTTCTTGACTGCTTTGCATTATAATGGACCCAGACAGAAGACTACATAACCAAGGTCTTCACTGAAAACTAGATGTTGTGCCTGAACTCAGTTTACCAGAGGATGCAAATTATCAAGATAAACTACATTTGTGATTGTGTATTCCTATTACAGTGCAGCAACTTGGAATTTGAATATAAAGATATATTTTTGAAGTAAAGAAGAATTTGGTCTTCAAACTGCATAGCCTTCTGTTTTTGTTTTTTTATTGCTTTATATTTCTGTGATCTTTATTTTTGTGTTGGTGTGTGGAAGTGGAAGAATATGCCTTCAGGGAATGAGTTTCCATTTACAATTAGATGTCTGAGTTGGCATTTAGGCTTATCCATTTGCACAATCAAGTATTGGTATCATAGAATCATAGAATGGTTGGAGTTGGAAGGGATGTCAAAGATCATCGAGTTCCAACCCCCCTGCCACAGGTAGGGACACCCTCTACTACACCAGGTTGCTCAAAGCCTCATCCAACCTGGCCTTGAACACTTCCAGGGATGGAGCAGCCACAACTTCTCAGGGCAACCCGTTCCAGTGCCTCACCACCCTCAATGTAAAAAATTTCTTCCTTATATCTAATCTAAATCTACTCTTTTTCAATTTAAAGCCATTGCCCCGTGTCCTATCACTACGCGCCTTTGTAAAAAGTCCCTCTCCAGCTTTCCTGTAGGCCCCCTTTAAGTACTGGAAGGCTGTGATAAGATCACCCCAGAGTCTTCTCCTCTCCAGGCTGAAGTGTATCTTAAACAGACATCTTAACCATACTATACGGGGAGTTTAACCATACTAGGGAGTTCTGCAGTTGACCACTGTGGGACCAAGATTTTCCCTGTAGTCCAAGTAATTATCCATAAATGATAGAACATGAAAAGTTGATATACATTTACATTAAGAATATTTAAGTAATATGTACCCAGAATTTAGATGGGTAAGCTAGACAGAAATTATGGGTTAAATTTCAAGCTTACATGATTTTGTAAACATGTAAACAATATAGTCCAAAACTAATTTTTTTTTTTGCTTCAAGTCAATCTCTGAACTTCCTTGCCCATAGAGCCCCCCCACCCCTCGCCCAGGATCTCATTATCAGTGTTCAGCTTTTTCAGTAGCATATTGTTCCAGGCCTGTAGGATTGACACAAATATTCATGACCTTTCAGATGTCTAAGCTGCCTTAGTGTCCTGGCCTTTCATATTTTATTGATAACTTACTGTTTTTTTAATTGAGTTTTATCTCCACACGTATTATTTATTCACTCCTGCTTTACATATTGTAATAGTTGATATATATGTCTGTAAGTAATCCTGTGGTTGCTTTGAATAGTATAATCATAAATGTCAGTGGAAAAACTGGGATTTCTGACTGGTTTTTAGCAAAAGACTGTGATGCTTTTCTGAACTTAGGTATTTGTTATTTTCGTTCTGTTGAAAAGAATGTCTCTGACACCCCGTTCAAGTGGAGACTGGGTAGACGATCACTATACAGATATAAAGTTGTTTGTTTTCCCTTTCTGTTTTCTCATTATTTCTTGGGTTACTTGAGGGATGAAATTTGCTTTCAAATGTCCTTTTATTTTTACTCCTTTTTACGTTTTTTTTTTCCTTTTAATTAAATACTGTGGTTTTGCTCTGTTGAATCTTTCACCTGCAGAACTATTTTGAATGCCTTTATCAAGAAACTGGTTATAATGATTAAAATAGTTTCTAAGCCAATCTGAAAATTCATATTTAAGTAACATTTTTATGGAAGGATTGCACAATGTAGCAGGTGGAACTGGATTTATGGATTAAAAGTTGTCAGCCATTTCAAAAACTAAATATATAATTGTACAGAGTAGGTAAGACATTTCTGCATTTAAACATACCAATGGTCAAACCAAATTTAAAATAAGAACATACTTGCTTTACTTTCCTCATTCTCATTAGTGAAAAAATGTTTCCCAGCCCTGCTCCTGCAAAGGAACTGAAAGGCATTGGCACAGTGTTATTGCTACTTAGTGTTATAGAAACACATACTCATATTTTTTTAATTAATACAGTACACTGTTAAATACATACTAATGAATTCTAGTCAGCATACTAGAGTTGAAATTGTAGTTCATAAAATCACTGTTATAAGTTACTGGATCGGGGTGGTGGTGGTGGAGTCAGTTGGAGGTTGAGCAGGAGACAGTGGCATTTAGCCATCGTTTATAAATATAGATTATAGACTTGACACACAGTGTTGTTTGCTCTTTTCAACTCCAATATTTTACTTTCATCTCTGTGATATTTCCTAGCGTACCTGTACATTTTTTTCTAAAAATGCTAATCCCAACAACAGGACCCAGATTTCCTAAGCTGTTTGGGTAGATGCTCTTTGCTCAGGAGCAGTGGAGACTTACTGCAAAATTACTGTGGTGGTGGGTTTCCAGCACAGAATAATTGACGTCTGTAGCACTGTAAGCTGCAGTTACACACTGCAAAATCCCACAGAGGAAGAGAAGGAAGGCAGCTGGGGAGGCGTGGGGCCAAGCTGGCAGGAGTGGGGACAGAGGTGAGTGTCCATCCTGGGTAAGAGCAGGATTTCCCAGGTCGCCTTGCATCGCCATAAGTGCTATTTGCTTTTCCGTTCACGACACGGCCCTTTGTATCGTGACCACAGTTGTTGTGTTTGCAGATGATTCCTGTTCACCTCCTGGGGGAGGAGCGCATGGGCTGTGTCTTAACACGGTGCGTTTCCTGGCTTTCACACGTTTGGGTTTTAATGAAACTCAAAATGCATGAAATTGTTTGGGGCAGTGAAGAATTTTGCTTTAACATTTTCAGGGCGATGTTCAGGTCATTGTGAACTGTTGAGACGCAATCACAACAAACTTTTTAATTGTTGTTTGGAGCGGTGAGAGAGAAAGTAGTTAGCAAATCAGTTTTTCTCTTATTAATTCAATTTGAGGTTAAGCTGCAACCCATTTTAGTTGTTCCATTTGGTGATCATGGTGGTGAAATAACACTAATGCAGAGGAAAACCAGCAGAAGCAGGTCATCTTTAGTGTGTTAACAAAAAAATCCTGTAATTCTGAACTGGTTCATGTTAGTTGGAGTCACTTGAATCCAATGCAGCAGGTGAATCCCCCTGTAATATCTTTCCCTTAGTAAGTATGTCGTTTTCACCTGGACCTACTCAAACTCCTTGTTGGGTTTTCCCCGCTTGTGATGCAGTTAGTGCCGCTGAGAGCAGGCTTTGACCCGAGGCAGACGATGTGTACTGGTTTGTTGGTAAACTTTGTTCAGGCTGTTATTGGGCCCCCTAATGTAAACCAAAGGCTGCAATCAAGAGGAAAAAAAAGGGAGTAAAGGAGGAGTGAATCTCATGCCAGTGGGAATATCTCCAGGTTCCCGGAGACCCTGCTGCAATAATTCTGGGTTTGCAGGTGCAAGAATATACGTGGGAGAATAACAGCAGGAGAGCAACACGGAAGGAAAACCCTTCTGTTGCTGAGGTGAAAGATTAAAGAGCAGTGAGAGGCTCTGCAGGCTACAGAGCTGATCTGCAAAGGCTGAGGCACCGAAAATGCTGTGCAACAATATAAAGGGGATTTCAGTACTTACTCCAGCTGTGCAAAGCTTCTGCCAGAGCATCCCCGGCCCTGACACTGGCACGTGAGCTCCATACCCCAGTACCCAAGTTGCAGGCACTGCCCCCATCCTTCCAGATACCGTCGGTGGGGGTGGGATCTCCATGCTTACTTTTCTGCAAGGTTTGCAGTATTTGCCCAAGGTGGAAGAAACTTGTTTGCCACCTCCTGGCTTCGGCTGAGAAGATTTCAATCCATAGCTCCTAAACTTAAGAGAAGTCCTCAGCCACCTGGCTTAGTCTTTGCTAAGGACCATCAAAGGAGCGTTCATCACTTCTGATAAAGCTGTATCATTTGTGGAAGAAGTGGAGAACATAGTCTTAATCATAGCTAATTATTTTTTAGCCTAATGACTTGGGCTGGACTTTGATACTTGCTCCCAGCTTTTTTGGTGCTTTTTACCTAATGCGTCTGAATAAAATAATCAATTCTTAGGATAATATCTGGCACTGTAGCTGTTTACAGGCTTGAGAAAAGCCTGGGATATTCTGCTTTTGGGTTTTGATATCTGTGTCATTTTAGTTTCTCGTGGCCACATATGGGCCTTTATTGTTGTTGTCATTTTTATTTAACGGGAATATTTCCTAGCGGAGATGGTTTGGGGGAAAGGCTCCTGCTTAAGGACGCTTGGCAATAAGATGAATCTGCATTGCTGATTTAATTTCAGAATTGACTTATAATGACAGGAGTTATAATGATGACTGTCTTTTATTTTGGCAG